CGGGTGTCTCGGTAGGCAATGTGGTTAAGAGTAGGGTAACGCAGGCAACAAGAGTATCAGGAGCAAAGGCCGGGAGGCCTGCAATGACTTGATGGGTGAGTGGAATGGCAAGCAGTCCTGTAGATTACTCACACCACTCTACAACTCAGGAATGGCCTGGCTGTTTCTTAGATTAGAAACCAGGACTGAAAGGAAGGATCCAGAAAAGTACAGGGCTTGGGAAGAAGGGTATATTTTGGGCTGGTCAAAGAGGGAAGTAAAGCAAGAAGTAGGATGGTGTGCACAGAGTGTGCCACATGACTGATACTGATATTCTGTAACTCAGGTTGGACCCCAGCACAGAAGGGCAGTTGAAGTGGCAGAGCTGTCCCAAAGGAGTGACTAGTCTGAGTCAACTGAAGCCAGGTGAAGTGTGTTTGGGGACACTGGGAACACCTGAGAAGTTGCCAGGTGTGTGTAGCTGACCTACCTGGAGGAGGCTTCTTGGATCAAATGTGAGGGATGGCCTGTCCATTCAAGGGTCAAAGGCCAAGCAGTATACTTGATAATGAACTATTTCAGTGTATCATATTCCCAGTACGATGGCTATGACAGATTGTCACGGAGATGGACCAATGGCCATACTAAATTAGGGAACTCAACATCTACTTTGAGCAGGGTGCTACACCAGGAATTGGGAAAACAGAAACAATTAAGACATGCCCTAAAGGAACTTGCAATCTCTGGCTCCTGAAGTGAGTTGGGCAAAGTAGAAACTAGCCAGAGTGCAGGAGATGGGCAGTGGTGGGGTCCAGGAGGCCAGAGAAATAGAATTTCTGGCAGAGAGGACAGTGTCATTAAATGCAGGCAGGAGACAATGTTGTGTGCAGGGACAGAGGCAGTGCGTGAGGGTGAGCAAGCAGCAGGGCTGGGTGATGGCAGCAATGACCACTAAATGGTTTAAACAGGAGAGTGATGCTTAGATTTGCATTTTATAAGAACCACTTCAGCTGGTGAGCTGACCTGGTTAGAGGGGAAGGAATAAATGCAGGAGACCAAGGAGAAGGCCACGGTCATGGTTCAGATGGGGGACACTGACAGCCTGTGCTAGAGCAGTGGCATTACGGCAGATGTAGGAAGCCAGGTCTGGGAACTATTTAGAGGGAGAATGGTAGAACTTCATACCTGATGAGCTGTAAGGGTGAGGGAAAGAGTGAGGGGCCAAGAGGGCCTTTTTCAGAGATAAGAACACATAGGGAGACAGGTTTCTGGTGAAGGAGAGAACTCTAGTTCTGCATGTGCTGAATACATAAGCTGGTTGCTTTTCTCAAGAGGACAGTGGGGCATAGGAGCTGCAAAGCTCCAGGGAGGCCAGCTTGACAGGGCAGGCATCCTCTCCACTGCCTGTGACCAACAGCAACTCTGGATTTCAGGAGCAATGCCTCGCTTTCAATGCCAAGGCTCTGGTGTGTGAGATTTAGGTTGTCTTTGCTTTGACTCTATGACCCTAGGCAGACCAGAGAGGCCTGGGGGTCGGGGCTGTGGGGTTGGTGCTTAACTTCCTCCATTTGTAAGGTGGTAACTGAGCGCCATCCTTACTGAGAAGCCCTGCAGCTGGGAATCACACTGATAAATTCACTGTATTACTTTGCACAAATCAATATCCCAGCACTTACCAGGGGTTGATGTGACCGAAATTGGTTTCAGCCAATTCGTGAAGGTAATAAATGGCCATTTATCATATCAATTCATTCTGCGGCACTTCTCTGGCTGCCCATCCTCATGGTACCCATGGGGTGCCAGGCTCCATCTAGCCAGCCTACATGTGACAGTTGCCTAGAGGTCCCTGGGAGGCTTGGCTTACCCTCTCAACCACCACATTTTCCTCTACCTGCTTCACTTCTGAGGTCCTGAGGTATTGGGTGCTGTTTGCCTGCTCAGGCTTTTCCTGGGCTAGTAACTACAGCCAATAAGCTGCTATATTCCCTGTTGCTTGGGTTCAGAGTCTCTGGTTACAGAGAGCATATATGACAATTTCCAACTTCAGGGCTTCTCAGCAAGGTGGGTGCAAAGTTACCACCTTACAAATGGAGGCAACAGAACACAAACTCCACAGCCCAGGCACCAAGACCTCTGTCTTTTCAAGGATATGTAGCTACAGTAGGGTCAGCCTGCATCCAAAGGACAAGGAGTATTGTCTTTCTGGGCAGCCATTTACCTCTGGCCGGAGGGAGAGTTCAGGTGACAGAATGGAAGCTTTGGTTCGAAGGAAGCTCTCAGGGCAGACACTCTTGACAGTTCTTGGGAAGTGGGTGTGAAACTACCTACTCTTGCTCTGGGCTGGTAGCAACAATAGTCAAAATGGGTGGTGAATTCAGAGGTCAGTGTGGGACCAGGGGACGAGGTGAGCGCCTTGACTGCAATTAAGGCTCAGTCCCAGGTTGGAAGACATAGCTGTGAGTTTGAACTAAAGAGCACATTACCCAACCCTGGGCTATAAGCATCTTGAGGACAGGGACTAGGTTTTATTCATCACTGTTTGGTATTTAAGGAGTCACGGTGGCACTGTAGGATAAGCACTGAACTGCTAACCACAAGATTGACAGTTCAAACCCATCAGCTGCTCTGCAGGAGAGAGATTTACAGACTCGGAAACTCCAATACAAGGTCGCTATGAGTCAGACCTGATGGCAGTGGTTTGTTTTTTCTGAGTCTGGTATATACTGGAAAGAGCAAGTGCTTTGATAGTCACATGGTCCCAGATTTGTCTCCTCATTACACATGTGAGGAAACTGATGTTCAGAGAAGCTAAGGGACTAGCTTCAAGTTGCACAGCTGGTAAGTGGCAAACCTGCTGTTTGAGCACAAGTTGATCTAATTCTTTCCATCTAATACCCTTCTCCGGGAGAACTTCACATATGGGTTTGAGGAACTGGTGAGAAACAGGAGGTCAGACAGGCTCTCATGGACTTGTTTACACTTTCTTCAGCTTCAGCCTGAAGTTGCACATGAGCAATTGATTGTCTGTTCCACAGTCTGCCCCTGGCCTTGTTTTGAGTGATGATATGGAGCTTTTCCACCACCTCTTTCCACAGATGTAATCAATTTGATTTCTGTGTATTGCATCTGGTGAGGTCCATGTGTATACTTTCTTTTTTTTTTTAAAAAAAGGTATCTGCAATAAAGTCATTGGTCTTAGCAAAATTCTATCATGCAATCTCCAGCATCATTTCTATCACCAAGGCCATATTTTCCAACTACTGATCCTTCCTCTTTGTTTCTAACCTTTGCAGTCCAATTATCAACACATCTTGATTGCATGTTTGATCAATTTCAGACTGAAGAAGTTGGTAGAGTTCTTCAATCTCATCATCACTGACTTTAGTGGTTAGTGTGTAAATTTGAATAGTGGTGGTATTATCTGGTTTTTCTTGTAGGTGTATGGATATTATCCTATTACAGACAGTGCTGTACTTCAAGACAGACCTTGATATGTTCTTTTTGATGATGAATGTGACGTCATTCCTCTTCAATCTGTCAGTCCTGGCATAGTAAACCATGTGATTGTCATATTCAAAATGGCCAATACCAGTCCATTTCAGCTCACTAATGCCTAGGATATCGATGTTTATGTGTTTCATTTAATTTTTGACAATTTCTAATTTTCCTAGATTCATACTTTGTACATTCCATGTTCCATTTATTAATGAATGTTTACAGCTGTTTTTCTTCATTTTGAGTTGTGCCCCATCAACAAATGAAGGTCCCAAAGGCTTTACTCTATTCATGTCATCACGGCCAACTCTACTTTGAGGAGGCAGCCCTTCCCTAGTCATATTTTGAGTGTCTTCCAACCTAAGGGGCTCATCTTCTGGCACTATTATTGACAATATTCTGGTACTGACAGTGTTCCACTGCTACTCATAAGGTTTTCAGTGACTAAATATTCATAAGTAGTCTGTCTCTCCTTCTCCCTAGTCTGTCTTCATCTGGAACTCTGTTGAAACTCTCCAATGTGGGTGACCCTGCTGGTATTTAAAATACCAGTTGCATAGCTTCCAAAGTCATAGCAACATGCAAGTCACCACAGTATGACAAACGGACAGACAAGTGGTGGTTGAAATCTAGAGATCCTGTTAATACACAGAACACTGAGCCTTACCCCCTGAATTTTTGATTTTATAAGTCTGAGCTAAGGCCTGAGATTCTTCATTTCTAATAAAGTCCCAGATGTTGATGCTGCTGGCCCGGGACCACTGCCTTGGGGGATACTCCCTGTGTAAGCCTGGCACTGGGTTCCTCTTTCCTTCCCTCACCTGTCTGAAGTCACCCTCAGAGGGTCATGTGCATGAGTTAGAGGAGAAAGGTAAGGCTGCTGACTTGAGCAGAGCCCTAATTCCTCTATGTCAATCCAGTGGGGTCTGTCATAGGAAGGGGGGTCATCAGGTGAGGGGTCACAACACCAGAGTCTGGCTACCAGGGGTCAGAGTATGGGGCATAAAAACTTCATGGGTAGAGAAAGGTACTCATGAATTGTTCAAAGTGTTTCTGCTAAAACTGGGTTAGCCAATGATCAACTATGTTGAAGAGTCCAGCTGGGAGACAGAAGACATAAGTTCTAGTTTAGCTGCTGCCTTGTTAGTAACACCCCTCTCTGCGTCTGTTTTCTGACCTAAGAAGTAGGGTGTGGGTAGTATAGGAGATGGTGAGATGGTAAGATGGTAAATTCAAAGCACAGGAAAGCAGCCTTGAGCAAATTATTGAAATGTTCTATGTCTCAGTTTCCTCATCTGTAAAATGGGTACTTAATGGTATTGTACAGACAAAATGACACAACATATGTAAAGAGTTTATAACAATGCCTGATGCATAGAAAGTTCTTAGCAATGTTAACTTTTACTATTATTAACCACCTCTTTCCACAGTTTGGTGGGAATAGGACGTATACCTGGCTATAGCAAACCCCGAGGCCATGTGCTACCCTGCCCTTTGTGGCACTGGCTAGTATCCCACATACTCACCAGCACCCACTGTGGCAATGGCATTCTCTTGGCCAATGATATGTTCTTTCAGTCGCTGCTCTAGAGGGAAGCGGCGGCGTTCCTCGGCCTCACGCTTCCGCTGCTTCTCCTGGTACTGTGGGAAGAGAGGGAAGAAGGTGGGTGGCTCAAGAGCTCTGGGCACTGTAGGGCCCCAGTTTCATTCCATCCCCTAAACCAGGGGAAAACCCACAGGTCTGGATCTCTGGGGTTTCTATTGCCCAGTAGCTCATGAGCACAGGACAGGCCCATCCCTTCCTACCCTCCCCTGTCCTGGCCCTCACATCATCTCCTCACTGCAGGGGGCTTACTGCTAAGGGGTCCTGGCTCATGCTTAATTGCTAGTAAGATACACACTGTTAGTAGCTTAACCCCTGGCTCTGAATTTTGACAGAAGACCTAAGTTCATTCACAGGATATGATCAGGAGCAAGTTATTTCACCTTAGTTTTCTTATCTGTAAACTGGCAGTTAAATATAATTATGTATATATTGTGCCTAGCATCATTTTGGAAGCATGATGGGTCAGTATGCTAAACTAGAAACACAAATTTAGTGGTTCAAGCCCACCAGTTGCTCTGTGGAAGAAAGATGAGGCTTTCTGCTCTAGCAAAGATTTACAGCCTTGGTAATCCTATACAAGGTCTCTTTGAGTTGAAACCAACTAGATGGTACTAGGCATACAGGAAGTGTTTAATAAATATAAATTCCTTTTTCTTTCCTCTGTTTTAAAATAATTTATTTTTGTTGTTGTTTGAAAATATACGCAGCAGCATATATGCCAGTTCCACAATTTCTCCATGTACAATTCAGTGTCACCGGTTACATTCTTGGTGTTGTACAGCTATTCTCCTTCTTTTCTGAGTCTTTCCTCCCCTATTAACATAAACTCACTGCTTTTATTTAATCTTTCGAGCTGCTGTTGTCAATCTAATCCTGTATACTTAAAAGAGCACAATGCTCAAAGGCAGGCATTCTTTACTAGTTAAGCTAAACTGTCAGTTAAACACACGTTATTCAGCAGTTGCTGTGTGTCAGGTCCTGTGTGTGGCCTTGATGGAAGGATGGGGGTGGAGTGGAGTAAGGAGGAGCTCCTTTCCTCTAAGACTCCTGTGCACTGCCATCTTTCTAGAAAGAGAGCTGCCAAGACAAGGCCCTGTCAGAGAAGTTGTGGCTGCAGACTGCTCTTGTGGGCTGAGTGGATAAAAAGTGCCAATGCTGAGTGCCTGGCATGGGTCTGGTCCTGGGCTTGGCTGATGTCATGAAACACAATTAGGCCTAAACTTGGTGTCATGCTGGGAGGGAGAAGACAGGGGAGCCAGGCCTTGCTTTCGGAGTTCAAAGTTGGCCAGGGGTGGCAGGGTCTGTACCAGGGGTTCTAACTGGTTCATTCCAGTTGGAACTCCTGCTGATGATAATTTGTATTTTTACCACAGAAACACTGAATCAGAACTTACAGCTTAATAAGATTCTCAGGTGTTTCTTATGTAAAAATGTAGATTCTGATTCAGTACATTTGATAAGGAAATTCAGTAGGAGTATGTGTGGGGGTGGTGGTATGTTGGAGGGTGGAACTGAATTGGAATGAACCAGTTTGAGGCCCTGTTCTGTACACAAATATGTCTCAGGGAGAATCAACCATTTTCCTCATGGTTACAAAGCCTGACAGTCTATTTCTAACAGTGTATCTATCATCATTGAAAAAACTCCCCAAACTGCTTGAAAACAAGTTTGTTGCGCATTTATGACTCTTCTCTCTGTGGGCAGGCACTCTTTTATTCATAACTGTTTCTAGCAAGAGTTTTAGCACAGTGGCGGCACCTGGTGAATATTTGCAAAAATGAATCTGATGACAGAAACCGGGAGGAGAGAATGAACAGTTACACTGGGTGGTGTCAGAGTACAGAGAAAGGACGGATAAATAAAGAACAGAACAAAGTTTTGGGGGGCTCTGGGGGCTGGGGAGACTGGACTAGATGGGAACTGTGGGACTCTCTGGAGAATGGCAGGGAGGGTGAATGATTAAAGATAAAGTGCTTGTGGAGTCTGAGGGTGGGGGAAAGAAAGATTTGGGTCTTCATGAGGCTCCTTTCCTCTAAGACTCCTGTGCACTGCCATCTTTCTAGAAAGAGAGCTGCCAAGACAAGGCCCTGTCAGAAAAGTTGTGGCTACAGATTGCTCTCACGGGCAGAGTGGATGAAAAATATCTACTGCTTGGGCAGTGTTTTCCTGTTACGGTAGTGACCTTGACAGAAGTTAAAAAAAATAAATAGCAAACAATCCAATTTTGGCTGTTGCCATCAGTCTGTAACTGAAAGCTCCCATCAGTCCTGGGGTTTCATATGGAGCAATAATTCGGTGCTGATCCCAGCGGAGCGACGCTTGCCGGTTGGAATCCAGAGTGTCACTGTGCAGCTCCCTCAGGCACCACATACATCACATCACTCTGATGACTCCAGCCATATATCTGCCTCCTCCTCCCTGCCCACCCAGCCTCTCTCAGCACTCAGGCCTACTGGACTGGGAGATGTACACACACCAGCTGGTGTGGTGCTGATTGGTGGCCTGATTGGTTTGCAGTTGGAAGGTTAGGGAAAGAGCTAGAAGCAACTCTGAGGGTTTGTTGGGTTGGTCTTTACTTTCTTTCAGGACGTATCTCAGAGTTTGTCCGCTTCTGGGCCTTGCTCACATTGCTCCTATTACAAAAAGTTTCCATATTGCCACCTGCCTCCAGGTGTCTTTGGCTTAAATGTCCTGTGGTCTAAGAAGCCTCCTGTAAGTATTTGTGCCTGCCCCTGGTCCCTGAGACCTCTGGCATACTTACAGAACGATTAGTCTCTCCTAACTCAACCACAAGGTCCTTAGTCATGAAGACCATGTTTTAGTAATGCCCACAGCTCCAGCACCACGCCCGGGGCCTAGTTCACAGTACATATTGCCAAGTGAATGATAATAACCATGTTTGTGGAACAGCTGTTATGTGCCAGGCATACACAGTATCTCATTTAAGTCTTTGGGCTCACAGGGAAACAAGGTGGGATGGCAGAAATATCACAGCTCTGATCCAGACAGACTTGAGCAATTCAAGCCTTACTTGCGAGCTAGATAACGTGGGTGAAGTTAACTGAGTCTTAGTTTCCTCATCGGTAACCTGGGAAAATACTCATTCCTATCCTGAAGGGTCCTTGTAGGATGCTGGAGATGATTAAAGAGACAATATACAAAAAGTACGTAGGAAAGTCTCTGCCACGGCAACTCAAGAGGCTGGCCCAGTATCTGGCCCTTACCATACCTTTGCTAAATGTTAGTTTCCTTCTTCTTCACTGAATTCTAACAACTGACTGTTTCACCCAGTGCTTTTTTTGGTGGTGTCAGGGTACTGGAATCCTTTTAATTGATGCCCTCTTCTGTGTGGCACTCCATAGATAACAAGAGCAGCTCTGGCTCAAGCACAAGACAGGAGCCAAGTCTGCTTGCATCCCCCCTGCCCCACAAGGGGCTTTGAGGGTCCTTCCATTGTGAACCCAAGGTAGGCAGTACATAGTGGGGTCCTAGGGACACCTGGGGCCACTCCTCTCTGCTGTCAGTTTCCCCTACATGATATCGCATCCTACTTCCAGCTATTTTCCATTCATTAGTCTGTGGGGTCATATGTAACATCGCTTTTTTCTTTGCTCCAGCAAAGCCTAATATGACTGTTACTTACTCAACTCTTGTGGGGTAGGCACTTGCTAACCACAAGGTCAATAATTCAAGCCCACCAGTCGCTCCATGGGAGAAAGATGAGGCTTTCTGCTCCCACAAAGATTTATAGCCTCGGAAACCCTATATAAGGTTCACTAAGAGTCAGAATCGATTGACAATACATAAGAACAACAAGAAAGTCTTCTCCAGGGTTAACCTTTCCCATCCCTAAACTTTTCTTCAAAGTCATGATTTTAGCTTGTCTTAGTATTCTTGTTATTTTCCTGGGCAAGGGGAAAGGATCCTTGACTTCTACAGAGATGGTGGGGCAATGTTCAGATGAACTTTTTAGATGGGTCAAATTATATACCAAATCTCTTAGCACATCCTGGGACCCCAAATTGTATTAAAAAACAAAAAAACAAACTGAAAATGGAATAGACTTTTTGATAAAAAATGTACAGGAAATGGGATTAAACTAGGTCAAAAGTTAACTGCTGCATGCTCTCTTCCCACTGTTCAGCAGTCTGTATCAAAAAAATGGGTTGAATGAATGAATGACTTTTTAAGGCTCGAGCCATGAGCCCACCAGCCTTGTGAAAAGTTAGCTTATGGAAGAACTGAGCAAAGGAAAACACCTGTCTATACATATGTATTTGGGGGAGTGGAGAGAGAAAGATGGGGGCAGACTACTACAGTTCCTCGTTCTTTGAGGAGATGGGGAGGAAGGCTACGGGGGCTGAAGTCAAGGTCCTGCTTTACTCTGGCCAGAGTTTACTAGAAAGGAAGATAAGGTAGGCAACCCAGCTAGCAGAAGTAGAGAGCACTGGGCTGAGAGGCACGAGGAAGGTGCCACTCAGAAGAGCAAGAGCAATCATCGTCTTAATAAAAGCCACATGCAATTAGCTTCAGAAGCCCTCACCTGGAGCTGGTAGTGACTAGCTTGCCATGCTGCATCTTGCTGGATAATCATGGCCACTGGTTTCCATCAGTCTTGATTTAATATGGCACCCCTCCTGGCTGTGAGTGCATTTACAGGAAAGGGCTGGGATGCTGAAGCAAACCCTAGTGGGCATGCTCAGAGTGGCTGGCCCTAGTGACTCTGTGGGGGAGGGTTACAGTAAGAAGGGTTATGGCAAGCATCCCTATTCTTGAGTGTCTTTCAGGGGACAGCTCTGACAATGAATCTGGCAGTATGTTCACTGAGAGGGCATCTAGGGTGGTGGTGGGTAGTCAGAATGAGATGGGGCAAGAATGAGATAGACAAAAGAAGCAATACCAATCTTCTCAAGGAATATGGAGGAGTTGGGCCTACAGAGTCCACTTCACAGCTCAGACAGACTCAGATATGCCCATACTCCTGACTCCCAGACTCAGAGTCTAACTCACTTTATAGTTGGGGCTTCAACTGTGC